TCCTGGTGAAAATCAACTCTGATGCCTCCAGCTCCTGTCTTTTTATCAGTGCCACCATTTTTAAATCATACATCAGAGCTGGTATCACTACTGTCTGGTAAACCTTCCTTTTCTCTCTTGCTGCTATCATTGTGTCAGAGTTCACTACGAGACAGTCACCTCCACCCACTCCACCCTGCATGCAATCTTCTTCACTTCTCTTTTGCACCATCTGTTATTTTGGTTGACCCAAGGTATCTCCACTGCTACTTCTACTCGTTGCATCTTTACTTTTCCACCTGCATTATCACAGTTCCTTTGTTGGCACTACAAAGAGTGAAAGTGTCAGGCCTGGACTCTGCAGTCTATTAACACCTACATGCTAGTGGACATGAGGGGGTTCACTTCCTGGCATTCCAGGAGGAACGCTGGTTTGAGTGGGGAGTGAAGGAGGCCATTTACGTGAAAAGGGAAAGACCATCTCTGATTCGAGGAGGGAGCCTAAGGGTACATCTTTCAGCATCTTTCAGTGCTGTGATTGCAGCCATTCCCCAACTCTCTGTGAATGCTACTCATAGCCATTGATCAATGGATCAATGGTTTTTTATCAGTAGTTGTCGATCAATGGTCATGACAATTTGCATATTAATGATCAAGAAAATGCCCATTGTTTATTCAGTGTTGGTAGTTTCAGTTATTATGCAAATGTTCTGTTTATGATGTTGGAAACCTGCAGACAGATGAGACTGAAAAGTCACTTGGATGAGTGACGAAACGTTTCTCCCACTGAAAACGTCCAGCTGAACAGAATCAACCTTTTTGGGATGTAAATGAGTGTTTTCGAAACATTGCTATACTGTATATATATTTTATAAAGAGAATAAATAAATGGTTTAATGCTTCCTCTGCCTGCAGGTTGAGAAGAGTTATTGTTACAAATTTGTCAGTAATGGTGCTTAAATGCACTTCTGAAAAGATCAAGACACATCATTGATCTATACTACATGAATACTATATTATTATAATGTTATGTTATAGTGTGTCAAGAAGTTTAATTCACGTCCACTTACTGCAGGTCGGGCCTTGTGTCCAGCTTCCTTGTGTACAAACAGATTTTTTGTTGTGTGCTCCCTCTGCAGTGTATCCATCCTCACACTCATACTGCACTTCTGAACCTGCAGCAAACACTTCCTGGTAGTCCTGATGAACGATGACTGCATGGGGGATTTTAGGAGGCACGCTGCACGCATTCATGCTTTCTGTAAAATTAGATTTAGACTCAAAAACGTTATTAATCCCACAGCAGGACCGTTTGTTTGTAGCTTATCCACATGATCAAACCCACAAAACCTACAGTCCTTAAACGCTAATCATAAAAACTCCTGTGAGTTGAGTCATGGATCAAAGAACAGTGAGGACCTGAAAACAAAAATTACATAAAATGCCCTTATTAACAACCTTCGTCTCAAATTTGTTCTGTGTTGTCCAGTATTAATTTTGTTGACCAATAATTTTCATCATAGTGTGCAGACTGTGGTGTCTAACTGGATACTTACAGATACTTCGCAGTTAATCCAAATTGCTATAGCAAGAGTACTATCATCATACTTCTCCTGTATCATCTTCCCTTTATTGGCTCCTTTAAAATGCAGAATTAAATTTGAAACTCCTCCTCTGACATAAAAGGTCTTAAATAAACAGTTAAAGTTTCTAAAAGTAGAATGGGAGGCAGCACTTTCATCTATCAGGCCCTTCTTTTGTGGAACCAGCTCCCAGTTTAGATTGAGGAGACAGACACCCTCTCTACTTTTAAGATTAGCAGTTTAAGGATCTTGGAAAGAAGGCGACCAGATTTCTTTAAGTTGGTGAAACACATAATAAAATAAATAATAAATAATAAAACAAATAATAATCTGTTCTGGGGGCCTCTGGATGTCTGGAGTCTTGATCTCCTCCATACCTGCTTCATGCCCTGGAGGAC